CTCTCCCTGCCCAGGGTACTACCAGAGAGCCAGCAGGCTGCTTGATCAAAGTCTGCACCAGAACTCCAGCACAGCAGCAGCTTCCCTCCACCTTGGAGAGCCTGCGCAGCCACAGCATACCCTGGAGCTCCAGAGGGCAGTGTGGCTCTAGTCTCCCTTGCCTGAAGCTTTGGAGAGCCAGCTGGCAGGCATGGCAAACCCTGCCTGCACCCCTGACCAGCAAGCCTCCTCCTCCTCCCACAGCCAACCTGTTAGCCCCAGTGCTGGGAAGACAGGTGGCATGGCACAACACCGAGTCTGCCTGCCACAGCCTCTGGCACTGCAACAGCACTCCGAAGGAGCAGATCTGGAGGGGGCCAGGTGAGGCAGTTTAGGAAGGCATTACCTTCTCCTGCCTATAGTATCATAGAATACTAGAACCAGAAGGGAACTGGAGAGGTCATCAAGTCTAGGCAGCAGGACCAAGCACTATCAAGATCTGTGGTATCCACCAGTTCTGAAGCCAAATAGCCACATATGGCTAGTGTATAGCATGTTGGACACCATGGCATCCCTGATAGATATCTGTCCAACCTGCTTTTAAATATCTACAGCAATGGAGATTCCACAACCTCCCCAGGCAATTTATTCCAGTGTTTTTCTTAATGTCCAACCTAACCTGCCCTTGCTACAATTTAAGCCCATCTTGTCCTATCATCAGAGGTCAAGAACAATTTTTTACCCTCCTCCTTGTAACATCCTTTTAGATGCTTGAAAACTGCTATCATGTCCTCCCTCAGTCTTCTCTTTTCTAAACAAACCCAATTCTTTGAGTCTTATATAGGTCATGTTTTTTGTTGCTCTTCTCTATTCCTTCTCCAATTTGTCCACATCTTTCTTGAAATGTGATGCCCAGAACTGGACACAATACTCCCAACTGAGGCCTAATCAGTGCAAAGTAGAGAAGAATCATTTCCCATGTCTTGCTCACAATACTCCTGTTAATGCATCCAAGAATAACTTTTTTTTGCAACAGCATCACACTGTTGACCCATATTTAACCGGTGATCACTTCTGTCCCCTATGAACCCTTTCTGAAGCATTCCTCCCTAGGCAGTCGCTTCCCATTCTGTATGTGTAAATACCTGCCGTCCATGTTCTGCTTCATGGAACATACAAGTTTTGTTAAGAACGATTGAGTTACAGAAGCCTGAGTTTTTGGTGACTAAATTAAGGACAGATCAATTAAGGATGTTCTTTTAAGTATAGCTTTGTTAGGACTGCAGGAGTTGGGAAACTGGAATTTATAAGTTCTGTATAAGAATAATTTGTATAGACCTAGCCTTATAG